GCACGTCGCGTAGCTTGGCACCCGTGTCGGAGTTGCCAGGCCCACCTCCCCCAAATGTGTCGCCAAAGCGCAGCGCCTTGTCAGACAGCGCGAGGCTCCAGTCCCCGGCGCACGCCCGAGACGCGCTTGCTCGCGAAGATGCACTTGAAGACCGAAAACGCAAATTGGCGGTCTTCAGCTTGCCGTTGGAGATGCGCGAGTACAAGCCAGTCCTGGAAAAGCTGAAAAAAGACAAGCCGTGCACGGCCCCAGATCCGTCTTTTCCGGATGTCTTCACGAATGCGCAGGCCTTGGAGATCCTGCAGAACCTGGACAAGCTGAAGGCCGAGTAGTCGCTGGGCCACCCTGGCCCCTTGGCCTCGGGTGGCCGCGACAATCATGTTCTCTTCCGGAGTGATGATGCCGCACGGCGTCGCGACACCCAGCTGCGTTTTGCGCGTGGCTGTGCGACGTGCACGTTGTGCAGTTTGCTGCGCGCCTGTCTGTCTAGCTTCCCTGCTGCTTTGCCTTGGTCTTCCTGCGTGCAGGCGATCTCTGGCTCTTGTTTGTCTTCTGCTGCGAAAGTGTTGCGCTCCCCACGTGAGCTCGCCATGGACGGCCTGCGTGCTGCCATGTACCCGCTTCCTGAGGAGGCACTGCCGGCGCTGGCTGTGGCCTTTCGCGAAAGCAGTGCGGATGACTTTCCAGGGCACCTGCGACTGATGCTGGCGGGCGCTGGCGTGCCGGAAGCTGCTTCTCTATCGGACCTCGAGGCACGTCGCATTTATGAGAAGCTCCTCTACCTGCAGAGTTCTCTGCTACCGGCCGCGGTCGACACGCGGCCTACCCTGGGCCACGTGGGCTCGGCTGCTCGGTCTGTGGCAGTCAGCTGCAGGCGCAGCAGCGTGCCGTTGGAAGACTGCTGACGTTCGATGCCGGCCTCGTTGACGCTCTCTACCAGCTTGCTGCCTGCGTGCGCTGCGGTCGCCAAGTTCTCGGTTGCATGGACATCGCCCCCGACCTCAGCTTGCTCCTGTGCTGCGACTCCGCTGCTGTCAAGATCTTTCCTATCTTGGCTCCGCGGCACAATGATGATGGGCGTTCTCTCTTATTTGTGGAGACCCGTGTGCTGCGGTTCATGTCCTTGGCCGTGGTGCACTGGCGCGCCTCCTTCGATGGCTTCGGACGCATATGGGCTGCTCTACATGCGCAGCCGGTGTCCTCGGTCTGTCGAAAGCACGTCTTCCATGCCTGGCTCTTTTGGCAAGCGCAGGTTTGTTTGCATTCCTGCGGACTTGGACTCGAAGCCTCGGATGTGCCGCTTCGGTTGTTGGCTTCAAGGGGAAAGCAGGATGCAGCCGAAGTTCCGTGTGACGATTTCTATGTCGCTCTTCTTCGTCTCCGGCAGCTGTTGCATCGCGGCTTTCTTGCGCAATTTGCACGCCAACACCACTGTCCCGTCTGCGACGCGACTGGCTGTGGGTGTTGATGCCAAAGTCAGCAGCAGCGTCCGCGTCTGTGCTGAGACGTCCGGCACCGTTCGCGACTATGCCGAGGTGGGTGTTCGATAGAGGGCAGTCAAGCAGAGCGTCACGAGGCAGTTGAAAGTGTGCGACTATGCATACCGGATCAATCATACGTCTTTGGTGTTTGGAATCGGCTATACATTTGACCAAATGTGCGCGATCGTGCCTTATACTCGTCGGGACATGCAAAGATCGACTCGGAAGCTGATCGAAGGCTTCGCGAGCATCTTGAGCTGCACCTCATCCTGGCAGGGCACCCGATGCCCAGACACAACTGGGGCACACGTTATCGGACGGATGCAGGCACTTCTCCATGAGCATGTGTGACAAGATGATGATGGAGGGCAATCAAGCAGCCCCCTGGTGCTTAGGAGGGGAGGCGGGAGAAAATGTAGATTACAATTTTCACTCCCCCACCGATACGAATGTGTCAATTGTAGGATCCCACGTCTGGGTCCACGTTTTGCAGCTACCCCGTGCAGGGTAAGCCACGCATACCCCTGCTTATTTCCGCTGGACACGGACACTGGCAGTTGTAGGAAAACATGTCCTACAATTTTATGCCCGCCGCCCCTCCTACATTCATCAAGCGCGGGGGGTAATCAAGCAGCGCATCACGAGGCTTCCGAATGTGCAAACCGGACCGAGCTTGTCTGTTTGTCGTTTGAAACCTGGCATGCCGAGTAACACACTTGGGCTAAAAATCGTGATCGGCTTTTGTCTTCTGCCTTACAGTCTGGCGGCACGCACAGAGATCAATTCGGAAGCTGATCGAAGCCTTCGCAAGCATCCTGAGTTTCACCTACTGCGCAGAAACAACTGGGACACACCTCTTCTGAGGGATGCAGGCCCCTGTCCGCACGCATGACAAGGTGCTGCCAGCGCGCAATCACCGAGTGCATCACG